CTCGATCCCGGGACTCCAGGATCATGACCTGAGCCGAAGGCAGTCGCTTAACCAACTGAGCCACCCAGGCGCCCTATTTTGTAAAATTATTATCTCCAAATAAAATACTAAATGTTGTTTCAATAAATAGTCACTAATGCGGCAAATGGACTAGACAGTAATACTTAACCTTTGATTATGCAACATGGTATATCTGTTCTTTTCCTTTGTTGTCATTCTGTCATTGTTACTATTATTAAAAGACCTCTCACGGGGCACCTGGTGGCTCAGTAAGTTAAGCATCTGCCTTCAGCTCAGGTCATGGTCCCTGAGTTGAGCTCCCTGCTCAGCGGGGAGTCTGCTTCTCCCTCTCCTTTGGCCCCTCTCCCTCCCCCACCCTGCCCCGCTCTCAGAATCACTCTCTCTCTCTCAAATAAACAAATAAAATATTTCTTTAAAAAGCTAAAAGACGTCTCAGATTGGGTTCTCCAGAAGCACATGCTATCATTCCCCTATTCAGTATTAATAGTTTGCAAATGCAATAAGTGTCAGGAGCCGAGCTTTTTATGGGTGTCCAAGGTGAATAGTTTATGCGTGTGATCCCTGAGCATCTCAAAGTCTTTAGAGTGCCTAAGGGCAAAGAGGAAGGGGGAGAGGAAGCAGCAATAAACAGACTACACAGTATCACATATATAACTCCAAGAGGAGTTTTCTGTGGGAACTCAGGAGAGGGAATGAGAATCTCAGCCTAGAGGAATCACCAAAGGCTTCATAGGGGAAATATTGACTGGGATCTTGAAGGTTCAGAGAAGGTTTTCCCCTCAGGGAGAAAGACTAGGCATCCTGAACAGATGAAAAAGCAAATGTTAATCTGTTTCTTCAAAATCAAAGGAACACCTTGTTGCTAAATATACCCCCATAAAGCAAGGCAATCAAATTGGAGGATGAGACACTGCCACAGACTGCGCGCCCCTCCAAAATATTAAAATGTTGAAACCTAACCCCCAATGTGTAGTATTTGGAGGTGGGACCTTTGGGAGGTGACTAAGTCATGAGTGGGGGACCCCTCATGAAGGGATTAGTGTCTTCATAAAATAGACCCCAGAGAGCTTCCTAACCCCTTCTACCACCTGAGGACACAGAAAGAAGAACCAAGAAGCAGGCTCTCATCTGACACTGAATCTGCTGACACCTTGATCTTGGACTTCCAGCCTCCAGAACTGTGAGAAATAACTGTTTGTTGTCTCAGCTACAAAGTGTATGGTGTTTTTGTTAGAGCAGCCTAAACAGACTAATAGGAGCACTAAAAATTATGAAGTATTCTTTGGATCCCACGTGAGGCTCAGAAATGTGAGTTCAGCCAACAGACCAGCCCTCTCAGCCTAGGAACGCTTGAGCCCACAGAAAACTTCAGTGACTTTTCCACCTCTATTGTTATTACTCTCATTAGGCATCAGATTTCTTCTTAGGGTTTCTAGGCTCACTCTTCATAATGAGCAATCATAAAGTACATCCAAAGCAGCATGATTGTCAACTCAGAAATTACATTAGAACCCCCTGGGGAACTTAAAGGGGGAAAATGCCAATGCCTGGATCCCACTCCAGAAATTCTGCTTTAATTGGTCAAAGCTTGGTCCAGCAACCATATATATGGTGTCAAAACTCCCCAGGCGATACTGTCATGTAACCACTATTGAAAAACACTGCCTTAAATTCTGAGAGCACTTCCAAAAAGGAAGTGAAAACAAATTTGGTTACATGTAAATTTTTAGAGTGATCACCTAGAAAGGAAAAACTTGACCTTTATGCAAAGAAGGTTTAAATACAGTAATTAGAGGGCGCCTGGGTGGCTCAGTTGGTTAGGCGACTGCCTTCGGCTCAGGTCATGATCCTGGAGTCCCAGGATCGAGTCCCGCATCGGGCTCCCTGCTCGGCAGGGAGCCTGCTTCTCCCTCTGACCCTCCCCCCTCTCATGCTCTATCTCATTCTCTCTCTCAAATAAATAAATAAAATCTTTAAAAAATAAATAAATACAGTAATTAGAAACAAAATTACCTATTTAAAGGAGCAGGGTTGTACTTAAGACTCAGTTCATTCATAACTGTCTATTGAGAGTATTTATTCTAAGTTCCTTGCAAACACTTTGATAGCTTCATTTCAGTAAGTTGCCAAAGATTAATATGCCTGGGAAAATAGGTCCATTATACTTTTATCACTAAGAGCATGTCTTCTTGCCCATCATTTTTTGTAGGGCCTTTTTCAAGTCCCTGTTCCTCAGGCAGTAGATGAAGGGGTTCAGCATGGGGGTCACCACTGTGTACATCACAGTAGCTGTGGTGTCCTTCTCAGAAGAGTGTGAGGACAAAGGGTTGAAATACACAGCAATGATGGTGCCATAGAAGAGAGAAACCATGGCCAGGTGGGATCCACAGGTGGAGAAGGCTTTCCATTTTCCCTTTGTGGATGGGACTCGCAGGACAGCACAGGTAATATGGATATATGAAGCCAGGATGCAAATAAATGGAGTGATCATGATCAGAGAACCCTCAGTCAGAATCATCACCTCACTGAGGTGTGTGTTGGAGCAGGAGAGTTTCAGGAGGGGTGTCACATCACAGAAGAAGTGGGGGATGGCATTGTCTGCACAGAACGAGAGTCAAGCCATCAACAGGGTATGCAATAGAACATTCAGGTTGGCAATGACCCATGACCCAGCAACCAGCAGGGCACAGAGCTGGTGGGTCATCTTTGTTGAGTAGTGTAAGGGGGCGCATATGGCAACAAAGCGGTCATAGGCCATCACAGCCAGGAGGAAATTGTCCATGTCCACGAACATGAATACAAAATACATCTGTGTGAGACACCCAGAAAAGGAGATGGTCTGAGTCCCGAGTATGTAGTTGGCCAGCATCTTGGGGACAGTGGTAGAGGAGAAGCAGATGTCCACAAAGGACAGGTTGCTGAGGAAGAAGTACATGGGGATGTGAAGGCGGGAGTCCACGCCAATGACCAGGAGGATGAGCAGGTTTCCCAGGACCGTGGCCAGGTACATGCTCAGGAAGAGTACAAAGAGGAGCTGCTGCTGCTGGGGTTGCCTGGAGAGCCCAAGGAGGAGGAACTCAGAAACACTGGACTGGTTTGTCCCTCTCATGAGGCTGGAAGCCTGAGGCAGATAAAGGAGGAAAAATTCAAAAGCCTGGAAAATGATGGTTAAAGTGGAGCAACTAAGAAGACTGCAAGGAGAAAGGCTATGTGACATCAGTGAGGCATTAGAACCTTCCTCCCTGTGTGTTTGGCCAATGATGGTCTTTTCTGTGCCACCATTTTTTCATTAGCAAAATGAGGGCAGTGCCTCTGGAAGGACATTGAAAGACTGGGACAATGGTTGTATCCATAAATTCTTTTTATGTTTGAACTTTCTATCATGACCTTGTATCTTCAAATAGTGTCATAAATCACTATAGATATAAGAATATTAATAGACATATTAATATTTATAATGAGTACTGGAGCACATACATAAGTGATTACCATACAGACTGACATATAGTAAGCACATATCCTAATATATGGATATTGATGTCATTATTATCATTAGTGGTGTTGCCTTAGAGGACATTTTTCAGGTCCATTATCTCTAATGTGGACATGTTACACATTCCTAACATGTTTGCTCTGAGGATGATATCAGTGATCAATCAATATGATAATATTGCTGCTGCTGCTTCCTGGGCTCACATTTTCTGAGAGCACTTTACAGAGCTCTGAGCCAGCCCTTCTTGGTTATGTCCACTGAGTTCCCTCAATCTAACCTGTAAAATGGAAATGGAAATGACCCAGAGTTATGGACAGAAACTCAGCCAGTTGGTTCTCTCCACAGTTCAGGTCTCATAAACATACAAGACATATATGGTCATGACTAGGTGATTGCAAGGGATGGTTGATGATCTCAGAACTGTTTCTTTGGCTCCACTTCAAAGAAAGATGCAGTGAGGAGTGCCCCCACAAAAGGTTTGCACCTTAACAATCAGTTATTGATAAAGTCCCACTGATCTGACTCTTACCCCAGAAAGAATGGCAGTCATCACAGTCACCAGAAGTCCCAAGCTTGCTTCACTTTTCCGGACCTGGCCAGAGATCATTGGTTAGAGGAAAAGGGACTTGTCACTGGTGTTTTCAGGCTAAGTTTGCTTGAATAAGGGTTGGAGTACACAGACTCAACCCTTGGTGCAGGAAGGATGTTTGGGGGAATCAGAGGACCAGCTCTTTACAAGAGCCTCCATGGCCACTAGGGCCATATTCCCTAAGAGCCTCATTAGAGACAAAGAGCAAGTAATTGTCCCTTCTCCTCCTTGGGCTCTTTTGGATCCAACATTGATAATAAAGTCCTGCCATCATATTGCTGCTTTAGAGCTTGGCAACATTGGAAATGAAGCAATCTTCGGGGAAATCATTAGCAATCATTTTTCTGCTAGAGAAAACTCACAATCCTATATTTTATCCTCCACCCAAGCTGGGGTGCTTTCCTTGTTAGGAAATATACATGATGCTGTATATGAATTAAGAGAATAACATTTGGATTCACACAGATGTGCACTTAAATCCCAGATCCAACATTACCAGTTGTATGATCTTGAGAAATCTATCAACCTTCACAGAATCACAAAATAATGTTCATCTTGTACAGATGTGCAGATTAAATCAGGTAATATATGTTAAACATCTCATGACCCCTAATCTCATCAATGCACTGGGCTTAGACCATGTCCACTACGTGGAGGCTGAAGATACTAAGTGATATTTATATCCTTCACTCTGCTCAATCATCTATGTTCTGGATAAATGTCATTTGGAAATAGTGTCTTGTGTTTATCTTCATATGGCAATAGTCATTTTTATAAGGGGCCAGTTGACAAGTTTTTTATTCTATATTTGAATTTGGGGGTAAATGTGGTAGAATAGGAACCACTGTTGAGTCCATTTATAAATTAGTATGACATGGATGTCAATAAGGAACGTAGAATTTCTGAGTCTAATAGTTACCACTCCATAGCACCGAAGGCAAGATCTGGCTTTATCTTTTTTTTTTATTTGACAGAGAGAGACACAGCGAGAGAGGGAACACAAGCAGGGGGAGTGGGAGAGGGAGAAGCAGGCTTCCCGCTGAACAGAGAGCCCAATGTGGGGCTTGATGTGGGGCTCAAAGTGGGGCTCAATCCCAGGACCCTGGGATCATGACCTGAGCCAAAAGCAGACGCTTAACTGACTAAGCCACCCAGGCATCCCCTCACCTTAACTTTTAAAACAGCTTCCTAATTTATCCTTTTGTCTTAAGTGTTCCTTCTCCAATCCTTTGTTCAACTCAGCTGATGGAACAACTAGTGGATCATAGTAACCAGATTTTTTGTTCAAGGACATTCTTTCCCATTTCCATTCTTTGGATCTGTTTGGGAAACTCCTCCCCTCCTCCATTTAGTCCTGATGATAATGTACATCACTAGATTCTCACATGGAATGCATTGGATTTATGAGCCAGGATGACCAGAACACCCCACTCTCCCATCCAGAGTGGTTGGTTCAGATTTGGGCATGGATCCAAGAAGGAATGATCACAGCCTTGCCTGGAATTAATAAGTAAACACTGGAAGAGGCACTTGGCTAGCTCAGGCAATAAAGCATGTGACTCTTGATCTTGGGGTCCTGAATTTGAGCCCCATGTCAGGGGTAGAGTTTACTTTAAAAAATTGCAAAGCCTCATTCCAAATCTCTGTACTCTGTATCATCCCACAGTGCCGGTACCCAAAAGGGAATAAATCTTTTTTAAAAGCTTAAAAATAAAACACTGGTAGAGAGAAGTTCTCTGTACCCAGTGATTGCTAGTCTAGGAGGATGTGAGTTTGGAGCTACTGGTGGCCATCTTGTCTGCTACATGAAGAGAGGCAGTCTGTAGAATGAAGTCAAACAGAAACAAACCAAATAGATAAGAAGTACAGGCCCTGATGTCATTATTTGGGTCCCTTCATCTAGCCCTGCTTGAAACTTGCAAGAACTTTGGACTTTGCAATTACATCCACCAATAGATTCTACTTCTCCTTAAGCTGATAGGAGTTAGTTTTCTATCACTGGCAAACAATGTCTTTAGTAATCCAGGGACTATTTTTCCCCTCTCCCACAGATTCTTGATAATTAGCATTGTGAGGTGTTTTTTGGCCTGTTTTTGGAGATAGAATGTACAGAACTTGGTATCTGATAACATGTGTCTGATGGATACATGAGGACTCATTATGACCCTGAAGTTCTTATGTTGAGTTACTAGGAGTAGGTGAATATTTATTAAGACATCATAATCAGGGGCACCTGAGTGGCTCAGTCATTAAGTGTCTGCCTTTGCCTCAGGTCATGATCCCAGGATCCTGGGATCAAGCCTCGCATCAGGCTCCCTGCTCGGCGGGAAGCCTGTTTCTCCCTCTCCCACTCACCCTGCTTGTGTTCCCTCTCTCGCTGTCTCTCTCTCTCTGTCAAATAAATAAATAATAATAAAAAATCTTAAAAAAAAAAAAGACATCATAATCAGCATGAAGAATACATTGTTCGTAAATAACCCAAAGTGGAAGATCAGTTAGAGTAGCACTCTGGTTTCCAGAAGACATTTTTTTAGTGATTCAACTGCCACTTCTGATTGAAGTGTATGGCTTTTAGGAGTAAACCTTTAATATTATCAACTCAGGAAAGTAAACTTTACAGTGCATAAGATCAAAAGCTTTATAGGTACCTTAAACCTCAGCAGGGAGTCTGCCTCTCCCTGAGCTTGTGTGCTCTCTTTCTCTCTCTCTCTCTGCATCAAACAAATAAATAAAGCCCTTTTTAAAAAGATAAAAAAAAACTTCTGCACAGCAAAGGAAACAGTCAACAAAACTAAAAGGCAACCTACAGAATCAGAGAAGATATTTGCAAATGACATATCAAATAAAGGGCTACGGGGCGCCTGGGAGGCTCAGTCGTTAAGCGTCTGCCTTCGGCTCAGGTCATGATCCCAGGGTCCTGGGATCGAGCCCTGCATCAGGCTCTCTGCTCAGCAGGAAGCCTGCTCCTCCCTCTCCCACTCCCTCTGCTTGTGTTCCCTCTCTCGCTGTGTCTCTCTCTGTCAAATAAATAAAATCTTTAAAAAAAAAAACAAATAAAGGGCTAGTATCCAAGATCTATAAAGAACTCAAGACCCAAAAAACAAATACTCCAGTCAAGAAACAGGCAGAAGACATGAACGGACATTTCTCCAAAGAAGACATACAAATGGCCACCAGACACATGAAAAAACGCTCCACGTCACTTGTCATCAGAGAAATACAAATCAAAAGCACAATGAGATACCACCTTACACCAGTCAGAATGGCTAAAATTAGCAAGACAAGAAATAACAAATGTTGGGAAGGATGTGGAGAAAGGGGAACCCTCTTACACTGTTGGTGGGAATGCAAGCTGGTGCAGCCACTCTGGAAAACAGTATGAAGGTTCCTCAAGAAGCTAAAAATAGAGCTACCCTACAACCCAGCAATTGCACTCCTAGGTATTTACCCCAAAGATACAGATATAGTGATCCAAAGGGTCACACGCACCCCAATGTTCATAGCAGCAATGTCCACAATAGCCAACACACACACACACACACTCCTATGCAATGGAATATTACTCAGCCATCAGAAAGGATGAATACTTACCCTAGCCCTGCTTGAAACTTGCAAGAACTTTGGACTTTGCAATTACATCCACCAATAGATTCTACTTCTCCTTAAGCTGATAGGAGTTAGTTTTCTATCACTTGTTCCAATGTGGATGGAACTGGAGGGTATTATGCTGAGTGAAATAAGTCCCTCAGAGAAAGACAATTATCATATGGTTTCACTCACATGTGGAATATAAGAAACAGCACAGAGGATCATAGGGGAAAGGAGGGAAAACTGAATGGGAAGTCATCAGAGAGGGAGAAAAACCATGAGAGACTCTTAACTATAGGAAACAAACGAGGGTTACTGGAGGGGAGGTGGGGGGGATGGGGTAACTGGGTGATGGGCATTAAGGAGGGCTCGTGATGTGATGAGCACTGGGTGTTATACACAACTGATAAATTAC